TGTTGGCTGCTTTTCCTTCACTCTGCCGTCCGACTCATCCCAAACCATCTCAATTGCGTGGAGGTCAGGTCATCTGATGCAGCACTCAATCACTCTCCTTCTTGGTAAAAATAAGGAAAAACCCTTGAATGAGTAGGTGTGTCCAAACCTTTGACTCGTAGTGTACATGTGGGTAGGTAGAGTTATAAAATACAGACCAAAAAAATATATACATTTGCGTGCCTGTTGCTGACCCGGAACCACTGATTAGCAGACGCTCTTATCCAGTGCGACTTACAGGAGCAATTAGAGTTATGATTTTTCACCTAGTCGGCTTTGGGATTCGAACCAGCGACCTTTCTGGTTACTGGCCCAACGCTCTTAACCGCTAGGCTACCCCTGATATAGGCCATCCTTCTCACAGCTGCCCTTTTGAAATATAATCTGATTTGCATGGAGCACAGTGTGGACGGCCTAATACCCACATGGATACATCGTTTACCACTGAACACCCATCCCTGAGTTTGGTCCATGTTTAGTGAACCGTTTGAAGAGAGGGCAATGTACAAAGTCAAGCTTTTCAATCCCTCTGACCGTTTGGGGAAAACTGCATTACTGCAGTCCCCGGATCATCTTAATGTCCTGCGTCCTAACCTTTAGGCTGTGTGTTGCGAGTTTGGGTTTGTTCCATTGGCTTGTTAGCTTTTTCAGAGAGCAAGACACTTTGGCCCAGTTCTTTTAATCATTATGACAATGGGTTTGAGTAACACTGCTTACATTTATTACATTTACGTCATTTAGCAGACGCTCTTATCCAGAGCGACTTACAGGAGCAATTAGGGTTAAGTGCCTTGCTTAAGGGCACATCGACAGATTTTTCACCTAGTCGGCTCGGGTATTAGAACCAGCGACCTTTCGGTTACTGGCACAACGCTCTTAACCACTAAGCTACCTGCCACCACTTAAGCACGAAACGCAGCATGTTAACTTATCTTTCAGCATGAATTTTTTTTTTTTTTTTTTTTTGTTTGAAGGTCTTACTGAAAACACCCTGAGTTCACAATCAGCTTTGCTGATAACATTTTTTTTTTGGTAGGATTTTGACAGTTGGGGACATTTTATCTTTCAAGTTAATGTTTAATCTTTTTTTTTTTTAGAGCAGAGTACATGCACCTTTTATAAAAATGAGACTGCCTTGTTGCGGAGGGGAGGCTGTAGCTTGGGTAATAAATAAAATAAAAGCAAAATAAATTGGTGTCATCAGCCGTGGACGTAGCTTTTGGCACGTCAACACCCAATCTATTAAATAGTTGCGAAAACCACGTTGTAGGCACATGTCAATCAACATAGGCCTACACCATCCCCCAAATCCCAATACGTTAGAGGGGGGAGGGGGGGGGGGGGGGGGAATAACTGTGAGGGATTACCGGGGGCGCGCAACTGTTTGCCCGATTCATAATGTCAGAAGCGTTAAACTTCTTTGACAGCCATTACCTTTGACTGTGGAACACTCGGGTAATTCGACCCCCTATCAAAAAGGTCAGAAGGTCATTGGAGAGGGTCATACTAAAACCTGCATTCCCAGTTCTGGGCTCCCCTTTTTATTCCGATTTAGTTCAGTTCCACCCTGCCCTCGTGCCCCGTCGCTCTGGATTGGCCCAGTTGGCTCTGCCTTTTTTTATTTGGTAACCACACATTCTTTTATTCAGACTTGTAGGTGAAAATCTACTGAAATCTTGTTAGACAGGGGTAAGATTAATATGATGAATCCTGTAGAAGGGTTGGTTGTTTAGCAACAAGTATGGGGCAAAACAGACTGTTGGCTTAGATTGTTGACAACATAATACAATTATTTTGTCTCCAATGTCTATTGAAAACATAAATACATTTGCATAATGAGCACTTGTCTAGATGTGTAAAATGACTCTAACTGTAACAGTAAATGTAACTAGTGTTAGTGCTGCAATTACTCTTGACCAGTTCCCCTTATTTAAAAAAATAATATTTTATTTATTTATTTGTCATTTAGCAGACGCTCTTATCCAGTGCGACTTACAGGAGCAATTAGGGTTAAGTGCCTTGCTCAAGGGCACATCGACAGATTTTTCACATAGTCGGCTCGGGGATTAGAACCAGCGACCTTTCGGTTACTGGCACAACGCTCTGCACGTTGAGAAACACATTAGAAAAGCTAATCTCTGCCCGTTTTTTTTGTCCTTGATTACAATGTCCTGGGTTTCATTTAGGGAATCAAAATGTTGCCATTCGAAACAATGTCGTACATAAGGATTTACCTTTTCATTTCTACATACATACAGTGCATTCGGAAAGTATTCAGACCCCTTCACTTTTTCCACATTTTAAGTTACAGCCTCATTCTAAATTGGATACAATTATTTTCCCCCCTCATCAATCTACACACAAATTCCCCATAATGACAAAGCGAAAACAGGTTTTCAGAAATTGTAGCAAATTTATTAAAAATAAAAAAACATACCTTATTTACATAAGTATTCAGACCCTTTGCTATGAGACTTGAAATTGAGCTCAACTTGATTTGAGTCCTCCTGTGGTAAATTCAATTGATTGGACATTATTTGGAAAGGCACACACCTGTCTATATAATGTCTCACAGTTGACAGTGCATGTCAGAGCAAAAACCAAGCCATGAGGTCGAAGGAAATGTCCGTAGAGCTCCAAGACAGGATTGTCTCGAGGCACAGGTCTGGGGAAGGGTACCAAAAAATGTCTGCAGCGTTGAAGGTCCCCAAGAACACAGTGGCCTCCATCATTCTTAAATGGAAGACTTTTGGAATGCTGTGGGGGATGTTTTTCAGCGGCAAGGACTGGGAGACTAGTCAGGATCGAGGGAAAGATTAACGGAGCGAAGTACAGAGAGATCCTTGATGAAAACCTGCTCCAGAGCACTCAGGACATCAGACTGGGGCGACGGTTCACCTTCCAACAGGACAATGACCCTAAGCACACAGCCAAGACAACACAGTTGTGGCTTCGGGATAAGTCTCTGAATGTCCTTGGGTGGCCCAGCCAGAGCCCGGACTTGAACCCCGTCGAACATCTCTGGAGAGACTTGAAAATAGCTGTGCAGCGACGCTCCCCATCCAACCTGACAGAGCTTGAGAGGATCTGCAGAGTAGAATGGGAGAAACTCTCCACATACAGGTGTGCCAAGCTTGTAGCGTCATACCCAAGAAGACTCAAGGCTGTAATCGCTGCCAAAGGTGCTTCAACAAAGTACTGATTAAAGGGTCTGAATACTTATGTAAATGTTATATTTCCACACAAAAAAAAACGACACTTTCTATAAACTGTTTTTGCTTTGTCATTATGAGGTATGTGGTCCTCTGTAGCTCAGCTGGTAGAGCACGGCGCTTGTAACGCCAAGGTAGTGGGTTCGATCCCCGGGACCACCCATACACAAAAATGTATGCACGCATGACTGTAAGTCGCTTTGGATAAAAGCGTCTGCTAAATGGTATATTATTATTATTATTATAGGTATGATGTGTAGATTGATGAGGAAAAAAACAACTTATTCCATTTTAGAACAAGGCTGTAACTTAACAAAATGTGAAAAAAGTCAAGGGGTCTGAATACTTTCCGAATGCATGCATGCATGCATGCATACATACATACATACATACATACAAGCTGGTGAAGAAGTGAACACAAAGCGGCCATGTCCTGCTCCAGTTGGAGATGTATAACTCTTAGCGGAGACAGGCCCAACATCCCACCACACACACACACACTGCTGTTGGCCGCTCACCATTTATTTTGTAAGTGGCTTTGGCTGAGTTTGTGTGTGTGTGTGTGTGTGTATATATATATATTTGTTTTTTACTTCTCACTGTGTGTCTGGCTTTGTCCGAGGCCATGATTGCCAATAAGGAGATTTACACAGATTTGCACGGCGTGTCAACAGCCCAGCAACTGAGCAGACATACCCAACCTCACCGGCTCAATGCTGCCTTCTTAGCTTCCTTATGGTGGTCAGTTGTTGACTACTTTCATGGCCCTCGGGTTCACAATGGACACAGGCTTTGGTAGAGTACAGTATGGGCTACATAATAAGATAAATGTGAACTCCGGTCAGGTGCAGTATGTTCTCCACCAGTCCAAAAAATCGACTTAACACAGTGCTCCCTTTTTAGTGGCTCCGAATTTCAGCTGTATCAGAGAGCACATACTTCAGACAGTCCCATGCCATTGCTTAGGACCATATCAGCAGTTGACTGTGAATGCTTCCCAAATGGCACCCTATTCCCTATATAGTACGCTACATTTAACCAGAGCCCTATGGAGAACTTTGGAGGACTGCGACGGTTCATAATGTGCTGTTATAACCTCCTAAAATGAAAAAATCTGACGTTCTCAATAATGGTCTCTATGAGATGTACGTACGAGTTAATGTTGCATTTGTGCACGGAATTAGTATTTCAAATGAAGAGAAAAGTGGTGCACTAAATAGGGAATAAGGTGCCATTTGGGATACAGCCTGTGTTGATGTACTCGCTGTGACCCGGACGGCGTTCCTTCTGCCAACGCCGTGAGCATCGGACAGCCTCCTCACCGACCCAGAACATATTCCCAGTTTTGTTTCTGCTAGTGGGGTTGAAGGGATACACATGTGATTTACGTGGCTCCATGACTGTGTAGTTGTTAGTTCATTCCAGGACTCGTTAAATCCTAAAGACGACTCGGGTTTGCGTCCCAAATGGCCCCCTATTCCCTATACAGTGCACTACTGCTGACCCAGGGCCCGTAGGACTACGTAGGGAATGAGGTACTATTTGGAATGCAGCAACCAAGACATTAAGTAGAACTCAATTTGTAAGTCGCTCTGGATAAGTGCGTCTGCTAAATGACTTAACTGTAAATGTAAAAACTCATTTCCCCTGTTGCCAGTTTTTTTTTTTTTTTTTTTTGATGGCTGTAGAAGGCAGACTGTGTTGTGATGTCCACCATCTTTGTTTCTACAGAGCCGCCGCCCACAACAGGCCCAGCCAAGGTGGTGAAGGCCCCAAACCCCCGGCCTCGGAGAGGAGGAAAGGTAAACATCCACCTGCTGCTGGCCAATCCATAGCCTGTGTGTGTGTGTGTGTGTGTGTGTGTGTGTGTGTGTGTGACTGAGCATATGTGTTTGTGTGTACACCCGAGGCTATGCTGACGAACAGTCCATGCTTCCTGGTATGTAAATGATAGAATCCCTCTAAAGTGCTTCATTCACACAGTTTGGATTCTTATCTTTGTTGTAAAAGAGGCCCTATTCTGGGCCACACCCTGTTGATGTAGTGGAGCTTTAATATGGTCAGCATAAATACATGTTGGCCTTCCAAATGGCACCCTATTTCCTATATAGTGCCCTGGTCAGGGAATAGGGTGCCATTTGGGACTCAAGACTCTCTCTAAAGAGTGTTAAATTCCCTGGACGGTCTTTTTTAGGTTGGAGATTTTGGCGACGCTATGAACTGGCCAACCCCAGGGGAGATCGCAACTAAAGAAACGCAGGTAAGTCAGCGCCCGGAGATAGAACTGCTGACACACACATACCCACACACACACACACACACACACATACCCACACACACACATACCCACACACCCACCCACCAGTGGCCAGTTGAGTAGGGCACAGTGCTGTTTTCAGTAGTAGCGAACACATAGCCTCTCTAGACATCAGGTTTCCTCCCCAATTTGTTTTTATGTTCCGTCTTAAAACGTCTGTACATAACAGAAGGTCAGCTTGGCATAGAGGGACTACGTCACTAGGCAACAGTGACTAGGCAACAGTGACTAGGGTCTGGTTTCAACGATGGACTCTTTAGGCATAGAGGAACTACGTCACTATCCGCTTGAATAAAATACTAAATAGTAGCTAGCAAGATGGAGATCAAGGAGTTTCTTTTTTATTTACTTTTTTTTGTGCTTATTTTTTATTAATTTTTTTCTCCGAATTTCGTGATATCCAATTGGTAGCTACAGTCTTGTCCAATCGCTGCAAATTCCGTACGGAGGTCGAGAGCCATGCGTCCTCCGAAACACGACCCTACCAAGTAACACTGCTTCTTGACACACTGCTCGCTTAACCCCGAAAGCCAGCCACACCAATGTGTCGGAGGAAACACTGTACACCTGGCGACCGTGTCAGCGTGCATCCGCCTGGCCAGCCACAGGAGTCTCTAGAGCGCGATGGGACAAGGGACATCCCGGCCGGCCAAACCCTCCCCTAACCCGGACGACGCTGGGCCAATTGTGCACCACCCCATGGGTCTCCCGATGTCTGCGACATAGCCCGGGATCGAACCCGGGATCGAGCCCGGGTCTGTAGTGACGCCTCAAGCCTTAGACCGCTGCGCCACTCGGGAGGCCCAGGAGGTAATGTTTTATAGAGTGCATTTCACAGGTGGCTAGTTCGCGTCAACTACCTTAACTTAAACCACTGCAAAGGTTTTGCCTGCAAGCTTGGGTTTCGAATCGCAACGTTCTGGCATGTCTGCTTCGTTGTCTGTTGGGAAGTTGCCAAAAGAGTCTGTCATTGAAACCAGACCCTTGTTACTGTTGCCTAGGGTCAGGTTTTTTTGTTTATTCACAAGGAACAGGACCTCTGCAGTCAGCCTCAACCAGTCTCAACCAGTCTCAACCAGTCTCAACCAGTCTCAACCAGTCTCAACCAGTCTCAACCAGTCTCAACCAGTCTCAACCAGTCTCAACCAGTCTCAACCAGTCTCAACCAGTCTCAACCAGTCTCAACCAGTCACCTTGACTTATCAATTACTAATACCTCTTAGAACAGGAGACTTGGTCTAACGCCTCATTGGTGGGAAAACAACAGTGTGCAGGCCGGGGGGGGGCGGGGACACTGAGGAACAGCACAGGAGAATAGTGATGATGATGAGGAGACGTAAATAAAGTTGGCTCTTTATTCCCCCCTGTTTATGACGCTGCTGTGGGTGTTTAGTGGTGTGGGGGTGGGGGTGGGTAATTGTAGAGCGCGCTCAGACAAAGTGACTCGACTGGCTCTTTTGTCTCTCTGAGATCTTAGGTCGTTCTGCTTCGACCTTAGTTAGCAACACACGGTAGGACTACTTGCACACAGCATAATTCGTTTGTGTCCCAAATGGCACCTTATTCCCTACATAGTGTGAGGAAAATAGTATATTTGAGAGCACACTTGACTATGGTCCTGCAGTTAGAAAAATACCCCCCCCACCCCCACCCCCCGAGAGGTTTAGGAGCCCCTCCCGAGAGGTTTCGGACCCCCGCCCGAGAGATCAACTTGAGAGGGAAAACATGAACTCCAAGGCTCAGGACTGCAGGCTTAAATATACATCTGAGACGGGTAGAGGACTCACCAGCTCTGCATGTAGCAGTGCAGTCCAGTCACCTGAGGCATCCATACATTCCGTCTTCCATTTTCCCAGGCGGCGGGTACCACGGACGGAGGATGCAACTCATTTGTGGCCTCTTAAAGTAGCATAACTCCGCAGGCTATTTCTGACAGCTGGGATCGGGGCGATAGTTTGTCACTGGCAGAGTAAACCCCTTTTTTAGACAGGCGGGGGGGCGAGGTGAGGAGTGGCTGCTGCGTGCGTTCTGCCAGGCTAGCGCAGGCCTGAGGAGATGTAGGTCAGAGCAGGGCCAGGAATAACCAGGCCTGGACGGGTCCCTATAGGACGGATGCCCTTTTAGGGATCCCCACAATAACCCCCGGACCTCTGCTGCTATTCTGGGGGGTTGTCGGCAACCAAACTTTTCAAACGCTGCTAAATCAGTCCGTTTCTCGAAAAATTAGGTAACATCATTTGATATTGATATTTTAGACCTTTTTTAAAGCTTTAAAATAGATTGCCGTTTTCCCCCAGAAAGCCTGTGAAGGTGTATTGTCATTACTATGTCCCAAGGGCCATTGTATATTTTGATAAGACTGCTTCACTCATAAAATGTCCGTTTATTAATTGAAAGTGCCCATAATTTCCTATGAGAATAGTTCAATTATTTTAGGTAATTTCTAGAATTTATTGGAATTGAGGTTCACACTTCAATGTTGTTTTCTCAGTGGTTAGGTTTGTGAGTGTAGTTTTAATGTGTGTTGTTGGGTGGAGGGCCTGAATTTCGGTGTCACACCTCAACTGCCACAACCCTCCCCAGACACCAAACCTCTTTAGAAACTTCTGACAATTCTGTCCACAGAATGAGAACGTTTTCTATAGAATTCTGCCCATACAATGTCAGCAAATTCAATTCTATAGAATGAATCAGCATTCTTGCTCTTTAGTTTAAGCAATCTCATAACAATGACAAATTCCATACCATTTTCAATACACACCGGTTACATGGCATTGAACACAGACATATACACGTCATCATCATCATCATCATCTGTCATTGTCTGTGTGTTGTTGAAATTGCAACAAACAAAAAACAAATATTTTCATCCAGGACGCAATCCTGTGATTGTGATTGCGCCCTCTTGTCCTAAAAAAAACCCCCTCCCTTCTGTCCCCTGTACTCAGATTGAAGTTGTGACTGGGATTGTGTCATGCCCCATGCCCGTCAGGCAGATCAGAGAAGTGGGCTCCACACGGAGATCCCCAGTAAGTTCACCCTTCACATGGACCTGGAGCTGCCTGGGCCAGGAGCCTCCACGGCCTCCTGGCTCCATAGAACCTGAATGACCTGAAACACGGGATACTCAGTAGGAGTATAGTGGGATGGCCTGCTACCTGGGGTGACGTTAACCAATCAAAAGCTTGCTTGGGGAATTAATAATAATGGGGGGACTGTTGCACGGACCTTGATTTTTTTAAAAAGCCTACTCCTGGGTTGAACGGAACTACCAATCAATGGAGAGCCAGCATGAAAATGGTTTAGTCCAAGCGTAGACATAATGTGGGTCTGTGCAACCAGCAGTTTGTGTATGTCCAGGAGTATGATTGTGGAGTGGCCTGCTGGTTGGGGTGAACATAACCATTGGAAGCTTGATGAGTGGTGTTGATTTTAACTTCCGATCACACAAAAGGAATCGGTATTACTTCAGATTCTTCAGAAATTGGTATCAGGTGTGCGTGCAGTGGCCACAGGAAATTAGCATTATATTAGGTATTCGGTGCTCAATGGCCATTAACTTCCCATGTTAGGCTATTGGTTTTCCAGTAGTTTGCTCATTTATACTTAGTAATGTTAACAGCTATTCTGGTTCCTGTTCAAATACAGAAAAGTGTGCAGTTCTTCTGTTTGAATGTGATTGCATGGGTTTGTACAGCGAGTGAGTTATCTTAACACATTTGAATGGACATCCCTATTCCAGTGCATTGTTAGGGGTGTCTTTGCTAACTAGGTGACTGGGTTTTTTGTGGATTACTTAATTTTTGCGACACGGTAAAAAGAAAACATGTAAAAAAAAAAAAAATCCTAAATAATGTTGACGTGCGTGTAGTACAAGTGTGAAAACGACTAGCCTAGTCTTTGCGAAACTAACCCTTCAACTGAATGCTTTGCATCGTCTTCCTATGCAAAGTGCCCGTGGGAAAAGTTATTTAGCTTAGTGAGTGAGCTCAAACATCAAGTGAACTAAACTTGCATTTGATTTGACTAAGTCTCAAATTACACGCTGCATGACTAAATGAGCAACGTTGATTACACACAGGATCTGTCTCTAGGCAACTCTTTGGCCATGTCAAGACTTGGCAGCTAATACAGTTTTTGTATTCTGATCATGGAATTTCTGATCACGGAATTCCGAACACATCATGTCCACACCTACGTTTAAATGTGTCCACCGTGTCCACATTGTGGATTCCCTTTTCCCCGCACTATATTAAAATGCCAGTGTGCATACTGCAAACGGTGGTGGAACAGGCTAAATATGATTCCACAACATCAACTTGATGGCTGTAGCTAACAAGCCAGCTAACCTCTGTAGATAGCCAGGAAGCTAGCAAGGAAAGCTAAAAGGATTGCAAATAGGTTACCATAACTCTAGTCAAACATTTTTTTTATTTTCTTCTAAATATTAGCTAGCTGGCTAGCATTTGAGGCCAGCAAAACATGTTCCTCACACGCTCTGAACGTATTTCCTTCAACGTTATGATGAAAACATGGCCTCTCGGTCCCAAAACACACGTTTTTCTGGAGACTTGTGGGTGGAGTGCTGATGACGTCGCCCACTGTATGCACTTTCGGTAGCCTGATTTGTGTCTGAGGAGAAATCCGCACACAATGCGGCCCTGACCACCACGTGTCAGCCAGATCTGAACCCAATGCGGCCCTGACCACCACGTGTCAGCCAGATCTGAACACAATCGGACCACAATGTGACATTTGTGTGTGAATGTCGACACATTTGGCTGAAAATGAAATCTTAAAAATGTATTTATAATTTTAAAAAAATGAGACTGGACCGTTCAGGAAAATCCGCCTCAGTCTTCTAAAAGCCTAACAGCGGGACAATTAAACAATTGTTTTATGCCAAAGACACCAGAATAGCTTTCCAAGAGGCGTTGCGTGTTCCTGAGAGGTCCGGTCTCAGTCCTGACTTAAAGTTGCGTGAAAATCTGAGAAGGTTAGAATATTGCTATCCAGGCGAAGTTAGTTTACGCCCAACATCAGTGCCCGACCTCACTAATGCTTGTGGCTGAATGGAAGCAAGTCCCCGTAGCAATGTTCCAACATCTAGTGGAAAGCCTTCCCAGAAGAGTGGAGGCTGTTATAGCAGCAAGGGGGGGGGGGGGGGGGACCAACTCCATATTAATGCCCATGATTTTGGAATGAGATGTTCGACGAGCAGGTGTCCACATACTTTTGGTCATGTAGTGCAGCTAGCTAGCCGGCCAGCCAGGCCAGAGAGCGAGCATTGCATTATGGGTTTTGTAGGAGACTTGAGCTGCAACAGTTTTTCACATGCTGCTACCAACTTTATTATATAACGCAGTGTTTCCCCTATATTAGCGGTGATGGCGCGCTGCTGCTAAATTGTGGCGCCAATAATTTTCAAAATGGTAAAACATTTTCAGTGTGAACTTAAATGACTAAAACCCAAGATATGAAGTATGTAGAAAATATATTGGAGCAATAAGATCATCTTTGAGAACTAAATAATCATCAAAATAAAAACTAGACAGTCAGTGAGAATGTAAAGTATAAAAAATTTCATGGCATTCGGCCCCTATTGATTCTGTTATAACGTTTGAGTCACTCAGATGGCATTAGAACACAGCATAAGGCATGGCAAAATGTCTAGAATTGCAGGAAATTAGCTTTAAAACCATAAAATGTTGTCTTGCCCCATGGGAAATGTCTCTAGAATTGCAGGAAATTAGCTTTATAACAGGAGGAGGGCCTTTAACACGCCGCCATTGGCCACACTTACTACATTGGCCACACCCCACACACACACACACACACACACTAACTTTGCCACCACTGCTGAAAAATATCCTAGACAAAAAAATGTAACATTTGTTGACAAAAAAATATTCTCACATAATATTAGTGTTATTTTTACGCTGTAAATAATAGGAATTAGGGGTTTTGGGTGGTCTCTCCTCTGTGTACTGTAGGTGAGTGACCTGTGACCTGTGACCTGTGACCAGCAGCCTTCGTGTTTGTCCCAAATGGCATCTTATTTCCTATTTACTGCACCACCTTTTGACCAGGTCCCAAATCGAGTATAGGGTGCCACTTGGGATGCACACTAAGTGACGCTCCTATACCCGGGTGGTAAACTTGGGATGCACACTACCTGGGTGGTAAACTTGGGATGCACACTACCTGGGTGGTAAACTTGGGATGCACACTAAGTGACGCTCCTATACCTGGGTGGTAAACTTGGGATGCACACTAAGTGACGCTCCTATACCTGGGTGGTAAACTTGGGATGCACACTACCTGGGTGGTAAACTTGGGATGCACACTACCTGGGTGGTAAACTTGGGTTGCACACTACCCGGGTGGTAAACTTGGGTTGCACACTACCTGGGTGGTAAACTTGGGATGCACACTAAGTGACGCTCCTATACCTGGGGTACGGGGTGCACACTACTGGGGGAACTGGATGCACACTACCTGGGTGGTAAACTTGGGATGCACACTATGACGCTCCTACCTGGGTGGTAAACTTGGGATGCACACTAAGTGACGCTCCTATACCTGGGTGGTAAACTTGGGATGCACACTAAGTGACGCTCCTATACCTGGGTGGTAAACTTGGGATGCACACTAAGTGACGCTCCTATACCTGGGTGGTAAACTTGGGATGCACACTAAGTGACGCTCCTATACCTGGGTGGTAAACTTGGGATGCACACTAAGTGACGCTCCTATACCTGGGTGGTAAACTTGGGATGCACACTAAGTGACGCTCCTATACCTGGGTGGTAAACTTGGGATGCACACTAAGTGACGCTCCTATACCTGGGTGGTAAACTTGGGATGCACACTAAGTGACGCTCCTATACCTGGGTGGTAAACTTGGGATGCACACTAAGTGACGCTCCTATACCTGGGTGGTAAACTTGGGATGCACACTAAGTGACGCTCCTATACCTGGGTGGTAAACTTGGGATGCACACTACCCGGGTGGTAAACTTGGGATGCACACTACCTGGGTGGTAAACTTGGGTTGCACACTACCTGGGTGGTACACTTGGGTTGCACACTACCCGGGTGGTAAACCCTGTGTTAACCTGCTCCCCAGGCCCCTAAGAAGCCCGTGGTGAAGAAGGAGTGGAAAGAGAAATGCGACGCCAATGAAGAGAGCAAGGAGAACCGGAAGGCCAGGTCGGACGACTCTGGAGAGGAGAAGAACGGAGACGAGGACTCTCAGAAGAATGGACAGAAGAAGAAAGGTGGGTTCCTTTTACTTGGATTGACCTCTTATCTTTAAAAAAAAAAAAACGAACAAAAAAACTAAACTACAGTGTAGAAATGTGCGTGTTCACATATGTAGACGCTGGAGATGGTGAATATGAGGTTAGGAAGTGGTGGAGTTCATACAGCAGCTCAGAGAAACAGAACCTTGTGTGGCAGGACGTCCAACCTTTAGGGCTTTTGGCACAGAACAAATGTTTGTCTGAACACACAAACTGTAACAAATAGACTCTACAGTCATTGTATTAACATGATGATGGCGTGACCTGATTTAACAGTATTTGGAAAAGCTGTCTGCGTTTTAATTTACTGCTGTAGGCTTAAACAACGTAGGAATATCCATTCCCACGTGAGGAAAGTGAATCATGTTTAGACAGACAGCCTTGTGGCTACTACACCCACACTGAGTAGGAGGCCATGCAGGCAGGTGTTTTGGCAGCGATAAAGGGTTGAAATTCCACCGGCCTGCCAGCCAGCGAGTGTTTTCCTCACTGACTAGAGAGAGACTTCCCGTGCCTCTTTCTGGCCCTGCAATACTTTTTTTTTTTTTTTTTCACTCTGTCCTTCTCGCTCTCCCTTTCTCCCTCCCTCCCTGGACTCGCCTCTGGCAGACGGTTCAGGTCAATCACAACCAAACCTCCTGTCACCTGAACAGCTTTATCCCCCCCTACGCTGGGGCCCTCACCAACCGGCCACCTGGTCCATGTTGATCTTCCTACTTAGACTATGCACCCTGCACTATTCATCCATGGACTATGCACCCTACACTTTCATCCTACAACTGCACATTGCACTCTGCACTACCTTAGGCCCCTGCCACTGACAGACTCTCATTCATATATATATATATATATATATACACACACACACTTACTACCGGTCAAAAGTTTTAGAACACATACTCATTCAAGTTTTTTTATGTATTTTTTTTTTTTTACTATTTTCTACATTGTAGAATAATAGTGAAAACAAACTATGAAATAACACATATGGAATGATGTAGTAACCAAAAACGTTTAACAAATCAAAATATATTTTATATTTGAGATTCTTCAAATAGCCACCCTTTGCGCCTTGATGACAGCTTTGCACACTCTTTGCATATATATAATATATATATATATCTCTCTCTCTCTGTTGAAGTCGGAAGTTTACATACACTTAGGTTGGAGTCATTAAAACTCGTTTTTCAACCACTCCACACATTTCTTGTTAACAAACTATAGTTTTGGCAAGTCGTTTAGGACATCTACTTTGTGCATGACACAAGTAATTTTTCCAACAATTGTTTACAGACAGATTTCACTTATAATTCACTATCACAATTCCATTGGGTCAGAAGTTTACATACACTAAGTTGACTGTGCCTTTAAACAGCTTGGAGAAGTCCAGAAAATGGCTTTAGAAGCTTCTGATAGGCTAATTGACATCATTTGAGTCAATTGGAGGTGTACCTGTGGATGTATTTCAAGGCCTACCTTCAAGATCAGTGCCTCTTTGCTTGACATCATGGGAAAATCAAAAGAAATCAGCCAAGACCTCAGAAAAATGTATAAACCTCCACAAGTCTGGTTCATCCTTGGGAGCAATTTCCAAACGCCTGAAGGTACCACGTTCATCTTTACAAACAATAGTATGCAAGTATAAACACCATGGGACCATGCAGCCGTCACACCACTCAGGAAGGAGACGCGTTCTGTCTCCTAGAGATGAACGTACTTTGGTGCGAAAAGTGCAAATCAATCCCAGAACAAAAGCAAAGGACCTTGTGAAGATGCTGGAGGAAACAGGTACAAAAGTATCTATATCCACAGTAAAACGAGTCCTATATCGACATAACCTGAAAGGCCTCTCCTCAAGGAAGAAGCCACAAACTACGGTTTGCAACTGCACATGGGGACAAAGGTCGTACCTTTTGGAGAAATGTCCTCTGGTCTGATGAAACAAAAACAGAACTGTTCAGCCATAATGACCATCATTATGTTTGGAGGAAAAAGGGGGATCCTTGCAAGCCGAAGAACACCATCCCAACCGTGAAGCACGGGGGTGGCAGCATCATGCTGTGGGAGTGCTTTGCTGCAGGAGGGACTGGTTCACTTCACAAAATAGATGGCATCATGAGGAAGGATATATCGAAGCAACATCTCAAGACATCAGTCAGGAAGTTAAAGCTTGGTCTCAAATGGGTCTTCCAAATGGACAATGACCCCAAGCATACTTCCAAAGTTGTGGCAAAATGGCTTAAGGACAACAAAGTCAAGGTATTGGAGTGGCCATCACAAAGCCCTGACCTCAATCCTGTAGACAATTTGTGGGCAGAACTGAAAAAGTGTTTGCGCGTAAGGAGGCCTTCAAACCTGACTCAGTTCCACCAGCTCTGTGAGGAGGAATGGGACAAAATTCACCCAACTTATTGTGGGAAGCTTGTGGAAGGCTACCCAAAATGTTTCACCCAAGTTAAACAATTTAAAGGCAATGCTACCAAATACTAATTGAGTGTATGTAAACTTCTGGCACTCTGGGAATGTGATGAAAGAAATAAAAGCTGAAATAATAATTATCTCTCTTCATTTCACATTCTTAAAATAAAGTGTTGATCCTAATTGACCTAACAGGGAATCTTTACTAGGATTAAATGTCAGGAATTGTGTAAAACTGAGTTTAAATGTATTTGGCTAAGGTGTATGTTAACTTCCGACTTCAACTGTATATATGGTTATTCCTGTGACTGTAGTCATTTTGCTGACCAATAACCGTCATCCAAAATTCCATGAGCGTCACAAGCCTAATCTCTACACATAGTTACAGTGGCTTGCGAAAGTATTCACCCCCCTTGGCATTTTTCCTATTTTGTTGCCTTACAACCTGGAATTAAAATTGATTTTTTTTGGGGGGGGGGGTTGTATCATTTGATTTACACAACATGCCTACCACTTTGAAGATGCAAAATATTTTTGGGTGAAACAAACAACAAATAAGACAATTAAACAGAACTTGAGCGTGCATAACTATTCACCACACCAAAGTCAATACTTTGTAGAGCCACCTTTTGCAGCAATTACAGTTGCAAGTCTCTTGGGGTATGTCTCTATAAGCTTGGCACATCTAGCCGCTGGGATTTTTGCCCATTCTTCAAGGTAAAACTGCTCCAGCTCCTTCAGGTTGGATGGGTTCCGCTGGTGTACAGCAATCTTTAAGTCATACCACAGATTCTCAATTGGATTGAGTTCTGGGCTTTGACTAGGCCATTCCAAGACATTTAAATGTTTCCCTTTAAACCACTCAAGTGTTGCTTTAGCAGTATGCTTAGGGTCATTGTCCTGCTGGAAGGTGATCCTCTGTCCCAGTCTCAAATCTCTGGAAGACTGAAACAGGTTTCCCTCAAGAATTTCCCTGTATTTAACACCATCATTCCTTCAATTCTGACCAGTTTCCCAGTCCCTGCCGATGGAAAAACATCCTCACAGCATGATGCTGCCACCACCATGCTTCACTGTGGGGATGGTGTTCTCGGGGTGATGAGAGGTGTTGGGTTTGCGCCAGACATAGCGTTTTCCTTGATGGCCAAAAAGCTCAATTTTAGTCTCATCTGACCAGAGTACCTTCTTCCATATGTTTGGGGAGTCTCCCACATGCCTTTTGGCGAACACCAAACGTGTTTGCTTATTTTTTTCATTAAGCAATGGCTTTTTTCTGGCCACTCTTCCGTAAAGCCCAGCTCTGTGGAGTGTACGGCTTAAAGTGGTCCTATGGACAGATACTCCAATCTCCGCTGTGGAGCTTTGCAGCTCCTTCAGGGTTATCTTTGGTCTCTGTTGCCTCTCTGATTAATGCCCTCCTTGCCTAGTCTGTGAGTTTTGGTGGGCGTCCCTCTCTTGGCAGGTTTGTTGTGCTGCCATATTCTTTTCATTTTTAAATAATGGATTTAATGGTGCTCCGTGGGATGTTCAAAGTTTCTGATATTTTTTTATAACCCAATCCTGATCTGTACTTCTCCACAACTTTGTCCCTGACCTGTTTTGAGAGCTCCTTGGTCTTCATGGTGCCGCTTGCTTGGTGGTGCCCCTTGCTTAGTGGTGTTGCGGACTCTGGGGCCTTTCAGAACAGGTGTGTATATATACTGAGATCATGTGACACTTAGATTGCACACAGGTGGACATTATTTAACTAATTATGTGACTTCTGAAGGTAATTGGTTGCACCAGATCTTATTTAGGGGCTTCATAACAAAAGTTGTGAATACATATGCATGCATCACTTTTCCATTGTTTATTTTTTAGAATGTTTTGAAACTAGTTTATTTTTTTATTTTATTTCACTTCACCAATTTGTAGTATTTTGTGTATGTCCATTACATGAAATCCAAATAAAAATCAATTTAAATTACAGGTTGTAATGCAACAAAATAGGAAAAACACCAAGGGGGATGAGTAACTTTTGCAAGCCACTGTATAATGTAGTTCATAGTGCAGTCTGTAGTGTTTTTAGCTTCAGTATTCATAGTGTACATAATGTATGTGGATATATTTTGTATTTTTCTGTATATTGTCTATAACTCTGCAGGACCGTTAAATTCCTGTACGTGCAAATATGTATTTGGCAAGTAAAGGTGACTTATTCTCCCACCCACCTTCAGCAGACAGGGCCACGTCACTCTTGCTCTCCCAGAGTACACCATCAAGAGTGACGTGGCCCTGTGCCCATCTGCTGACGGTGTAGCTGTGAATCACTTCAGTCCAACGTGCTCGCTCTAGTCTTCTGCGCTCACGCACACTCCACTAACAGACCGCTGACACCGCCAGCTGGCCAGCAAGGGAACTACACCTCAGGCTGAATAAAACATGGGGGGAGGGCACTGTTCCAGCGATGACAAAACTGAGTAGTTTGTGCAGTAAACGGAGTAAAACGTGGGGTATTTATTTTAGATGTCAGACTTCTCAATTGGATTTAGAGTTCCAGCCGTGAAACCTTAAAAAAAATAAAATGTAATATGTAGGGCAGGAGAAGTTACAGTGCAGCTTGTTCAGTGCTGCTCTGTCGTTCCCCCTGCACACGTCAACTAGTTTCCTGCTATCCCGGTCTGCCTGCATCTCACGCTTGGTCTGGCATGAATCAAAATAATCAAAAAATATTGGTGTTGTGTAAATGTGACAGACCGGCGCCTCTCTAACAGCTGTGTGGTGTGTGTGTGTGTGTGTGTGTAGGAAACAAGCACAAGTGGGTGCCGCTGATGATGGAGGTGAAGTCGGAGGGGCCCAGAGAGCGCTCGGCCTCCAGGAACAACACCCGTCAGAACGAGGTTCCCAGGATGCCCCCCAACAACAGGAACGACCTCCGAGGTGACTGACATCATCACCCAGCGCCAGCCTGAATGTCAGCCTGGCTGGGTTGCAAATAGCACCCTTTTCCCTATATAGTGCACTACTTTTGATCAGAGCCAGTATTCCCTATATTCAGTGCCTTCAGAGAGTATTTAGACCACTGCGCCTGAGTGGCGCAGTGGTCTAAGGCACTGTATCGCAGTGCTAACTGTGCCACTAGAGATCCTGGTTCGAATCCAGGCTCTGTCGCAGCCGGCCGCGACCGGGAGACTCATGGGCGGCGCACAATTGGCCCAGCGTCGTCCAGGGTAGGGGAGGGAATGGCCGGCAGGGATGTAGCTCAGTTGATAGAGCATGTCGTTTGCAACGCCAGGGTTGTGGGTTCGATTCCCACGGGGGCCAGTATAAAAAAATATATATATATGTATTCACTAACTGTAAGTCGCTCTGGATAAGAGCGTCTGCGAAATGACTAACATGTAAAAATGTAAATGTAATTCACACACCTTGACCTTTTCCACATTTTTGTTGTGTTACAGCCTTAATTTAAAATGGATTAAATTGAAAAACAATTATCACTGGCCTACACACAATACCCCATGATGTCAAAGTGGAATTGTGTTTTTAGACATTTTTACAAATTAATTACAGATGTAAAGCTGACAAGTCTTAAGTCAATAAGTGTTTAACCCCTTTGTTATGGCAAGCCTAAATATGTTCAGGAGTAAAAAGACTCACAGCTGTAGTCGTTGCCAAAGGTGATTCTAACATGTATTGACTCATGGGGTTGAATACTTACGTAATCAAGATATAGTTGTTTATAACCAGTGGTGGTGTTACGGGGGGGGGGGGGGGGGGGGGGTATACAGACAATAGCCTTATTTGGTAAAAGACCAAGTCCATATTATGGCAAGAACAGCTCAAATAAGCAAAGAGAAATGACAGTCCATCATTACTTTAAGACATGAAGGTCAGTCAATCTGGAACATTTCAAGAACTTTGAAAGTGTTTTTCAAGTGCAGTCGCAAAAACAATCAAGCACTATGAAGAAACTGGCTCTCATGAGGACAGCCACGGGAAAGGAAGACCCAGAGTTACCTCTGCTGCAGAGGATAAGTTCATTAGAGTTATCTGCACCTCATATTGCAGCCCAAAAAAATGCTTCACAGAGTTCAAGTAACAGACACATCTCAACATCAACTGTTCAGAGGAGACTGCGTTAATCAGCTGCAAAGAAACCACTACTAAAGGACACCAATAGTAAGAAGAGACTTGCTTGGGCCAAGAAACACGAGCAATGGACATTAGACCGGTGGAAATCTGTCCTTTGGTCTGATGAGTCCAAATTTGAGATCTTTGGTTCCAACCGCCGTGTCTTTGTGAGACGCGGAGTAGGTGAACCCATGTTCTCCGCATGTGTGGTTCCCACCGTGAAGCATGGAGGAGGAGGAGGTGTGGGGGTGCTTTGCTGGTTTCACGGTCTGTGATTTATTTAGAATTCAAGGCAGACTTAACCAGCATGGCTACCACAGCATTCTGCAGCAATGCGCCGTATTATCTGGTTTGCTTATTTCAGCTGTTCTTGCCATAATATGGACTTGGTCTTTTACCAAATAGGGCTATATGCAGGAAACCCCCCCCACCCCACCTTGCCACAACCCAACTGATTGGCTCAAACGCGTTAAGAAGGAAAGAAATTCCACAAATTAACTTTTAAGAAGGCACACCTGTTAATTGAAATGCTTTCAAGGTGACTACCTCATTAAACTGTTTAGGAGAATGCCTAGAGTGTGAAAAGCTGTCATCAAGGCAAAGGGTGGCTACTTTGAAGAATCTAAAATATATTTTGATTTAACACTTGTTTGGTTACTACATGATTCCATATGTGTTATTTCATAGTTTTACAATGTAGAAAATAGTAAATATAATGAAAAACCCTTGAATGATTGGCCTGGGAGGGCATAAAATAACAAAAGGCTAACACCTCGCTAGGTGTTGTACTAAGGTTGTTTAGTATTATTACAAGGGGTAAAACTTAGAGATAGATCTATCTCTCTCTCACACACTTAACTGTATAACGGATTTTGTTATTTTTTCTAAGAGGCGAGCACAAAAAAAAAAAAAAAAAAAAAATTGAGACAATTTAAATGTTACCCCTTGTAATAATACAATATCTAAACAACCTTAGTACAACACCTAGCAACCTCACCAAGAGGTTTTAGCCTGTTGTTATTTTAGCGACAGGGAGTAGAACCCGGGCCTCTGGCATGCAAGGCAAACGCGCTACAGTAGGATCGCTACACTGCCCCCACTGGACGGGAAGGCACATCCCTGTGCTTCCACTACACAGCCCCCTAGCACGTCCTAGCCATGCACTCAGATTACCTGACTGCTGCCATCCCAGTTCTGACACCAATGTAGCAAATGTCGGTGGGCAGGGAAGCGAAACCGGAAGGCAAACACCCTACGCATCATGCCAATAGGGTTGCCCCACTCGGTGGGAATTGTAACCTGACTCGTATAGCAAGGATCACGACAGTATAATGGTTTTGAAATTAGGCACAGGGACCAGGGTCTGAGGGTTTTGACTAGGTCGACTACAGCTATGACCGGAAGGGACTTTTTTGTTTGTTTTTTTGTAGCGGGTTAGGAGAATTAACTTCGCTGGTTAGGAGAATTAGGTTAATGTTAGGGTTATCTAAAATGCTCTCCTAACCTGCTATGAAAAGTAACTTCTAGTTGTAGCTGTGCTTCACAACCGATTTTGGAGTCCCAGTCAGGGTACCCCCCCCCCCCCCCCCCCCCCCTCAATCCACTACATTGGTGTCAGGTGTGGGACAGCCCCATTGAAAGCCTGTCCCAGCTGAGTTTTAGTCACAGTTCATTTTTCAGAGGCATAGATCTACCATTTTTCAGAATTGAATGTGATAAAATATATAGCGGTCTAGTGAAGTAACACCTATTCTTACTATACCGAAATGCTTCAGCTTTAATTGTACATTTTAACTCTACCATACAAAATATTACCGTACAAAATATTTTGACAGCTGAAGCAAGCCCACACATTTTCTTCAGGAAATATTCCTGTTCTATTTTAGTCATTTTATAGGGCCTTTATAAAATCCAAATTCAGTTTCTCCAGGTTTTCACTCTCAAATTCACACTTAAAATTTTTTTTTTTATAACAACCAAATTGGATGTTTTTAAGTTCACAATAATGTTTTAGCCACATCAGGAGACAACATTTGAATAAAATTTATTTTTAAAATATATTTTTGGAAGGGAATACTTCCCCTTTTTTAATTCAACAGGCAGCTAGCAAGGGACCGTTGTGTTGCTTTCAGGCTAGTGGCGTTTCTGTGCTGCACGTGTGATGGCAGAGTATAAGACCCTGTATCTCAGTCCTATATCTTACCTTTAGAAGGGTTTACTTCAGGCAGACTACCTTCTAGAGTTGCAATGCCCCATTTTAAATTGAATGTCCAAATCAAGGATTTTCACAAAAATACGTTTTTTTGCAGCGACCCAATCCAAAAGGTAGGCTAGAGCTGACATTTTTATTTTATTTTGACTGTTCACATGATTCGATTTCACCATGTTTGAACCGAACCCCAACTACTATAATGGCGAAGCAAATCATTTGGATTTGTCATTTTCATATGAATTTAAAATATGAAGTGGGACCATCCGTTTATACAGTAAATGAACATTTCTATGTCCTAAAGGTTATATGTAATAGATAATCATTTGATTCTGCTGGAACAAGGCTTGGTTTAGCTTTTATAAAGGGGTCAACATTGACATTCATTTTGTTTTATTTGAGTGTGTTTTACAAGTTTTTTTATTTTCTCAGACTGGCACAGCGGGAAGTACGAGCGTGAATGGCGTGAGGACCATGATGAGGTGTCCAGCGTGAAGAGCGAGGGTGCTCCCTTCCGTGCCGGGTTCCGGGGGCGTGGTCGTGGCAGGGGCCGGGGCCGGGGACGAGGAAGAGGCGGTAGCAGCAGAGGTGAGCTCTCCAACCCTCAAGGCTCTCTGTAGAACAATACTGGCGAATGAAGCTTAGCCACATGTCTTGAAGCCCAGCCAAGCTCTCCACTCTGCTAGCTCTCTGCTAGCTCTCTCTCTCTCTCTCTGTCTGTGTGGTTGTGCTCATGGCTTTGCCTTTGTCCTATCTAACCCTGATCTGGCCCCACCTAAGGATACAGTAAAAACAAAGCAATTTAATAACAACCGGAGTGTGTTAGTACGAGGCAAGGCCTGTGATCCCTCAGTGCCACGAGGGGGATGCAGGGTGCCCGGGCCTGCTGGTTTTGGCCACCAGCCTCTCCCCTCTGGCTGGGCCATGGAAGTCTGCCTGCCTGCCTCCAACAGGAAACACTGCCCCCCCCCTTAATTTGAGGAGAAAGTGGGAGGAACAGGGTGAGTGGAGAAAAGTTAACACACTCCTTTCTCCACCCGACCCATCCCCTATCGTGATGAAACCTGCCGTTCTCCTTCCTTACTAGGCCAAGATCCCTCCGTTTTGGAGTTTTACGACTCTTCTCTCTCTCCACAGGAACACACCGTTTCAGCAGTCTTTAAGAATGTTTTCCTGACAGGACGCCATATTTAAGTCTTTAAACACATATTTAGAGACATATTTACTCTCTGGCTCTCTTAGCTTGTTCCAATTTTAGAGTGGAATCGCACGCCTTCCTAAGCTCAACCGCTGTGCGGCGAATGTCTCTCTGCTGTTGCTGAACCGTCTCTGTAGCCTGGTTTATTTTAGTAGGTTTGTAACAGCCACCCTGTAATGGTTGACTACTACCGTGTCTCCCGCCAGGTCGCTATGACTACCATCATGGCTACAAGGCCTACGACGGAAAGGACGGCGCCTACGGCCAGAAGTTTGGCGCTCCAGTGACCTACTACTACGACAACATGAGCAGCAACGACCTGTACTCTGTGGACCAGGACCTGCTCAAGGACTACATCAAGAGGCAGATGTGAGTACTACCGTTGGTTACTACGCTCTATAACTACTACCGTTGGTTACTACGCTCTATAACGACTACCGTTGGTTACGACGCTCTATAACGACTACCGTTGGTTACTACGCTTTATAACGACTACCGTTGGTTACTACGCTTTATAACGACTACCGTTGGTTACTACGCTTTATAACGACTACCGTTGGTTACTACGCTTTATAACGACAACCGTTGGTTACTACGCTTTATAACGACTACCGTTGGTTACGGCGCTCTATAACGACTACCGTTGGTTACGGCGCTCTATAACTACTACCGTTGGTTACTACGCTTTATAACGACTACCGTTGGTTACGACGCTTTATAACGACTACCGTTGGTTACGACGCTCTATAACTACTACCGTTGGTTACTACACTCTATAACTACTACCGTTGGTTACTACGCTTTATAACGACTACCGTTGGTTACGACGCTTTTATAACGACTAACGTTGGTTACTACGCTCATAACTACTACCGTTGGTTCGTATAACGACTACTGTAGTTATAACGACTACCGTTGGTTACTACGCTCTATAACGACTACCGTTGGTTACTACGCTCTATAACATACCTACACCTATAACGACTACCGTTGGTTACTACGCTCTATAACGACTACCGTTGGTTACGACGCTCTATAACGACTACCGTTGGTTACGGCGCTCTATAACGACTACCGTTGGTTACTACGCTCTATAACGACTACCGTTGGTTACGACGCTTATAACGACTACCGTTGGTTACTACGCTCTATAACTACTACCGTTGGTTACAGCGCTCTATAACGACTACCGTTGGTTACGACGCTCTATAACGACTACCGTTGGTTACGACGCTCTATAACGACTACCGTTGGTTACGGCGCTCTATAACGACTACCGTTGGTTACTACGCTCTATAACTACTACCGTTGGTTACGACGCTCTATAACGACTACCGTTGGTTACTACGCTCTATAACGACTACCGTTGGTTACTACGCTCTATAACTACTACCGTTGGTTACGGCGCTCTATAACGACTACCGTTGGTTACTACGCTCTATAACTACTACCGTTGGTTACGGCGCTCTATAACGACTACCGTTGGTTACTACGCTCTATAACTACTACCGTTGGTTACGGCGCTCTATAACTACTACCGTTGGTTAACGCTCTATACATACCGTTGGTTACTACGCTCTATAACTACTACCGTTGGTTACGGCTCATAACATACTGACGCTCTATACATACCGTTGGTTACGCTCTATAACTACTACCGTTGGTTACTACGCTCTATAACGACTACCGTTGGTTACTACGCTCTATAACTACTACCGTTGGTTACGGCGCTCTATAACGACTACCGTTGGTTACTACGCTCTATAACGACTACCGTTGGTTACTACGCTCTATAACGACTACCGTTGGTTACCGCTCTATACTATACGTTGGTTACCGCTCTATAACTACTACCGTTGGTTACTACGCTCTATAACGACTACCGTTGGTTACGCTCTATAACCTACCGTTGGTTACTACGCTCTATAACGACTACCGTTGGTTACTACGCTCTATAACGACTACCGTTGGTTACGGCGCTCTATAACTACTACCGTTGGTTACTGCGCTCTATAACTACTACCGTTGGTTACTACGCTCTATAACGACTACCGTTGGTTACTACGCTCTATAACGACTACCGTTGGTTACGGCGCTCTATAACTACTACCGTTGGTTACGGCGCTCTATAACGACTACCGTTGGTTACTACGCTCTATAACGACTACCGTTGGTTACGACGCTCTATAACTACTACCGTTGGTTACTACGCTTATAACGACTACGTGGTTACTACGCTCTATAAGACTACCGTTGGTTACGGCGCTCTATAACGACTACCGTTGGTTACTACGCTCTATAACGACTACCGTTGGTTACTACGCTAAACACTACGTTGGTTACGCTCTATAACTACTACCGTTGGTTACTACGCTCTATAACGACTACCGTTGGTTACTACGCTCTATAACTACTACCGTTGGTTACGACGCTCTATAACGACTACCGTTGGTTACTGCGCTCTATAACTACTACCGTTGGTTACGGCGCTCTATAACGACTACCGTTGGTTACTACGCTTTATAACGACTACCGTTGGTTACTACGCTTTATAACGACTACCGTTGGTTACTACGCTCTATAACGACTACCGTTGGTTACTACGCTCTATAACGACTACCGTTGGTTACTACGCTCTATAACGACTACCGTTGGTTACTACGCTCTATAACGACTACCGTTGGTTACTACGCTCTATAACTACTACCGTGGTTGGTTTACTACCTTTATAACGACTACGTTGGTTACTACGCTCTATAACGACTACCGTTGGTTACGAGCGCTCTAACGATACCGTTGGTTACTACGCTCTATAACGACTACCGTTGGTTACGGCGCTCTATAACGACTACCGTTGGTTACACGCTCATAAACGACTACCGTTGGTTACTACGTCTCTATAACGACTACCGTTGGTTACGGCGCTCTAAACTACACGTTGGTACACGCTCTAAACTACTACCGTTGGTTACTACGCTCTATACTAACTACCGTTGGTTACTACGCTCTATAACGACTACCGTTGGTTACTACGCTCTATAATACTATACGTTGGTTACTACGCTTTTAATACTTCTTCACGCGCTCTAAAAGACTACTTTAACCTTATAATGACGTTGTCACCTACGCTCTCATAAGTTGGTTACTCAGCCTATACTACTGTAACGTCTGCTTGGATACAGAGCGTCTCTAAACTGATCGTTAGGTTACAGCTCATAGAGCAACTACGGATGGTACTCATTTTTAGCTCAGGGTTAATATGTAAATACTTCGCGCTTACAGCGCTTTATAAAGATACGTTGGTTCCACTTTAACGCGTATGTGGTTAGCCACAAATTACAGACAGTTGTCACCGACTCTACGATTTTCTACTCAAATTCCAGCTCCAATACAACGGATTGCAGTTGAAATTCCATTCATTTCCACTCCAAAACGAAGCTTAGAATGTGGCCAAATCTTTAGTTTCAACACTTTCCCCACATTGTATTATTAAATTCCCTGACGTTGGCTTTGCCAAATTTCTTTTTTTTTTTAGATTTTGTTCTATTGAGCATGTCTTCATGAAGGCATTCTAATTCTAGGAAGACTGCCTTAATCCTCCTCGTTTTGACTTCCTGTATCTCTCCTGTAGTGAGTACTACTTCAGCCTTGACAACCTGGAGCGGGACTTCTTCCTGCGCAGGAAGATGGATCAGGAGGGCTTCCTGTCTCTTGGCCTGGTCGCCAGCTTCCACAGGGTGCAGGCTCTTACCACCGACGTCAACCTCATCATAGAGGTACGTACGCAAGATGGCTTTAGCTCCAGAAATAAATATGTCTCTATGCCTTCAGACCTCATCAGCTTTATAATTTGTAGATAATTCAAGGCTTTTCATCGAGCTTTGACTTCTAAAAAAAAAAAAAACTGTTTCTGCAGTAGTTTCTTTACCTCAAAGCTTTTAGACGTTTTTGAATGTAATGCATGAATGTGTTCCAACTCCCCAGGCATTGAGCATATTCTAGATCAGGACAGGGGTGCCGGATTCGGCCAGCAAGGGGTCCAATCCTGCCCTCGTGGTTTTAGGAGAACAAATACACTCCAAAAAAAACACACACTCATATAGAGTAGATGGATACTATGTCATTGTGTCTCATTCCCTCAACGCTCTTAAATCTACCCGTAGTCTTTGAAGGGCAGCAAAGAGGTGGAGATCATTGAAATGAAGATCCGTCGGAAGGTAGAACCGGAGAAGTGGCCTCTACCAGGTCTGTCCATGGGACCGGACCACAACCAGGTGGACTTGACCCAGCTCATCCACTGCCCCGAGTTCGTGCCCCGGCAGATGCCCACTGAGCAGACAGGTATAGCAACTACACCCACTATGCCAAGCCACACACTATAAAACAGATGGAGAACCTGCATCGCGAAGTCCCTATCAGAACGGGTGGGTATCCATTTAGCTACTCAAAACAGGTATATCGATCCACCTAGTCAGCGAAACCCACTGTAACAGACTGGTGTATTTAGAATCCTAGCAATATAGTGACTATCGAACAGACCTGAGTATATATCTTCACATCCACTATCGAACAGACCTGAGTATATATCTTCACATCCACTATCGAACAGACCTGAGTATATATCTTCACATCCACTATTGAACAGACCTGAGTATATATCTTCACATCCACTATCGAACAGACCTGAGTATATATCTTCACATCCACTATCGAACAGACCTGAGTATATATCTTCACATCCACTATCGAACAGACCTGTGTATATATCTTCACATCCACTATCAAAACAGACAGTTGCACTTGGCCATACAGAGTTGACTCTTTCAGCACACGGCTGTACTCCGCCACCTAGCCAGCCACAGTCACCGTCTACTTGACAGTGTCTCGCAATCCACTTACAGCATTACAACACTCCGGTGAAGGCTAAACGCCTCCACGTTGGCTCAGTTTGGGCCTTAGTCCAGGCCCCTGGGTTTTCTTAAGGACGGAGGTGTGATACACAGTGTGATACCGTGAGGTGTGGAAACCATAGGACTTATTTCACCCTGCTCCTCTTGAGGACTCGCGCTGATTCAGTCAAGGGCTCTCTTGCTGTGTTAAGTAGATGTTGATTTTAGTCCCATTGGGTAACTAGTTCAAGGAGTGTGAAAGGTAACTATGTCGGCGTACCAAATAGCACACTACATTTATATAGGGAATATGGTGCTGTTTAGGACTTAGACACTGATCAGTCCATCCGGTAGTTCAAGGGGAATGGAAGGTTGCTGATATAGTGAGCTCACTCACCTGTCTCACCACCTTGTACATCTGTAGGCTTGTCTACTGATCACCCGTCTGTCTGTCTGTCCCACCTTGTACATCTGTAGGCTTGTCTACTGATCACCCGTCTGTCTGTCTGTCCCACCTTGTACATCTGTAGGCTTGTCTACTGATCACCCGTCTGTCTGTCTGTCCCACCTTGTACATCTGTAGGCTTGTCTACTGATCACCCGTCTGTCTGTCTGTCCCACCTTGTACATCTGTAGGCTTGTCTACTGATCACCTGTCTGTCTGTCTGTCCACCTTGTACATCTGTAGGCTTGTCTACTGATCACCCGTCTGTCTGTCTGTCCACCTTGTACATCTGTAGGCTTGTCTACTGATCACCTGTCTGTCTGTCTGTCTGTCTGTCCACCTTGTACATCTGCAGGCTTGTCTACTGATCACCTGTCTGTCTGTCTGTCTGTCCACCTTGTACATCTGTAGGCTTGTCTAGACTAGGGATCACCTATAGTCAATCTAATCGACAGAATCTGCTCCAGGGTCTCCCCGGTCCTCCACGCCCACCAGGGGCTCGACCAGGGCCTCCATGCAGCCCAAAGTGGAGCAGGACGTGTCCAACCTGAAGAGCATGTCCAAGGGTCTGTCGGCGAGTCTGCCCGACCTGGACTCGGAGTCCTGGATCGAGGTGAAGAAGAGGCCCAGGCCCTCCCCGGCCCGACCCAAGGTGAGTGGAGCTGAAGGAGAGGAGAGGAGAGGAGAGGGACGGAGCGTGTCCGGAAGGGGGATTCAAACACTAAGTACGTTTCAGCACATAGAAATGTAATGTGTAGATATGACATGATTGTCTATTGGCCCCTTCCTCTCTCTTACTCCAGTCACTCTGTGTCCAGTCTGAGTGGTCTGGCATTGATAGAGGATGCAGAACCATGGCTCTGTCACCCCTCTCTCTCTCATACAAGACTATCGTCCTACATGAGGCTTGTGATAGCTGTCAAAAAAGGTTGTCTATTCTTCATGACAAAGATGAGTGTCGGTTCTATGTATTTTCACCTGAACGTTCTGTATTGTTGCGTCCTGAAAAAGCCCCTGGGGTTGTTCCGTTTGCAGGTTTTTTGTTTCAGCAATTAATTACTGCTATGGATTAAGGCTGGGAATTGCCACGGACCTCACAAAACGATATTATCGCGATACTTGGGTACCGATATGTATTGAGATCCAACACTGATTTTATTGCGATTTGTTGTTCCAAACATATTGCTCACCATATGTCTACTGCAGAGGGACAAGAGCCATGAGAAAATGAGTTTTGATCAGTCATGGAAATATAAGTGCTGAAAACCAATTTGTCTCCCTATTTAAAAAGAAGATGCAGAAACAGCTATGAAGGAAATACTGGCGTTTTGGTGCAGGTATAGCCAACTAGCGCCAAAATAATATTGCGATATTGTCAAAACGATACGACAATATATTGTCAAAAATACTACTATGGATATCAGGGCAGTTGCGCATCGTCATGCTTACAACAAAACCCAATGCTTGCAACATGATGCTTGCAACAAAAACTTGTTAACAAAGGCTTCTTTCCTATTTAGTGCACTATTCCCTATTTAGTGCACTACTTTGGACCAGAGCCTTAGTCCAAAAGGAGTGCACTACATAATAGGGAATAGGGTGCCATTTTGTGGTATGTCCATACCTCTACATTGCCCTCTCTCCACTTCCTTGTCTCCCTCTCCACCTCGTCATCCATCCATGTCCCCCTCCCTCCTCACTTGGGCGGTGACTGATGGTAGACCCCCTCGTTGCAGCAGAAGGACGAGGCTGTCTCCCCGGTGCCCCAGCCAGGGCCCAGCCCGATCCCCTCGGCCTCCTCAGCCCCCATGGCAGCCAGGGAGGAGCAGGACGAGCCCGAGGAGCTGGACTTCATGTTCGACGAGGAGATGGAGCAGATAGACGGCCGCAGGAACACCTTCACCGACTGGTCCGACGACGACTCGGACTGCGAAATCGCCGACAACGACGTCAACAAAATCCTCATCGTGACGCAGACGCCGCCTTACCTGCGGAAGCACCCGGGGGGCGACCGCACGGGCAACCACACGTCGCGCTCCAAGCTGACCAACGAGCTGGTGAAGGTGATCAACGACGGCCTGTACTACTACGAAGCCGATCTGTGGGACGATAACTACGAACCCGAGTACGCCACCATCAAGGTCAGTCCCTTTCACGAACGCTTCAACTCTTATCTAGAATAGGGACATTCATGCAAGGTAAGTTGAGTTAAACAGGGTTTAGTATTTTTCGTTATGTTTCAATTAACACAGGTGAGAGTGTTCACTAGGACAAGGCTGGAGATCACTCTTTTACGAGTGTTGCCGATGGGGAATGTAGGTGAATAGCAGAATTTTCCTTAAGGAGTAACTCACTATTTAGGGAATAGTCTAACTAATTCCAGATCTCCAGTTAATTCAGGCCTAGCTTCCCCCAGGCCCAGAAACCATTTCAACAATAACAAACAATAACAAAACAAACTGTTATGAACAGCGAATGCGTACCACTGATATAACTTAAGTGGGCTATTCTGAAAAGTTCCAGGTGTCTATTCTGGCTGCGGGGGTGGACGTTTCTGTCCAAGGCCCGTACGCACGCACGCACGCGCGTGTGTTTCTGGATGTGGCAGGCCACAGAATGGTCGTGTTGCCATTTGAATGTGTGTTTGTTGTCCCTGCTCCCATTGTGGCAGGGCTCTTTGTGCCGTTCACGTGCCCCCATCCAGTGGTGTGTGGAAAAAGAGTCCCTTGTTTATAAATAAACCTTAGCTGGGCTGCCTGAGCTTAGCTAAGGGCTCTGTGGAGTGGGTTTCTGGGGGAGAAATGGCTCTTCAAATGTCTTCAGAGGTAACTTTGCTAGACTTCGAGATGGCTGGGGCTGGAAATGTAAGTCTTGTTTCAAAATCTGCATCCAAAATGGCTCCTTTTTTCCCTATTTTGGTGCACTGCTTTTGACCAGAGTCCTATGGGCCCTGGTCAAAAGTAGTGCACTATATAGGAAACGTCTTGCCATTGTGGATGCCGGCTCAGTGTGTAGAATTCGAGTTCAGTAGTTATAGTTTTGCTGTTTTTATACCAATTTTGTCTTAGAGGAAAGTTGAAGGTTTTGTGTTGTTTGGAGGTTGTTATTGTTGACATCCAGACCATTTTGAAAGGGACCGAAATGAAATGGCAGAGCCTTAGTCCAGTTTGAAATGGACCGGAATGAAATGGCAGTTAGAGCCTTAGTCCAGTTTGAAATGGACCGGAATGAAATGGCAGTTAGAGCCTTAGTCCAGTTTGAAATGGACCGGAATGAAATGGCAGTTAGATGAAGGCTCTAATATAGCCTTGTAGTTTCTTGGTCACCATGCCCTGTTGGTGTGTGTCCGACCGTCACCAAACCTTTAGAAGAAGGTACATTAAGCTACATAGATCATTGCTGATGATAGGCCATCAACTGTTTCCTCCGGCTTTTGTTGTTTGGCTCTTGAGAAGAACAAAAAAAATGTTGACATGCAAAAAGGCATGTTCAAATGTTTGGCTTTTTGAATGTTCATCGCCCGGACACAGATAACGGCTAGTCCTGGACTAAGAAGCACTTTCAATGGAGAATCTCCACTTTTTATTCTAGGACTAGGCTTAATCTGGCTCTGGGAAACAAACCAGTCCATTACGTTTGGCCACTGTCTCACTGAGCCTCCCTGCCATGTTGTCTCTGCAGCAAGAGGTGGAGAACTTCAAGAAGGTTCACCTGATCAGCCGAGAAGAGTTTGACTGCCTGACCCCAGAGCCCCCCGTCGACCCCAACCAGGAAGTACCACCGGGACCCCCCAAGCCCCAGCAGAGTGGGTACCACAGACACGGACTAGACACGCGAACACACACGCGAACACACACACACACACACGCACACACACACACACACACACGCACACACACACGCGCGCGCACACACACACACACACACACACACACACGAACGAGGCAGACACGGACAGACGCGCGCATACACACACACACACACACACAGACAAGACGCAGACCTCTCAATAAAACGGGTCACACAGTTGTGGCTAAATCCAGTGCCAAGCACAACCACTCAACCGAACCAACATTGGGACATGACACCAGATGTAGAGAACAGAATACGTTGGTGGTCTCCAAGTGAAAATGGTTCTATGGCTTTGCAACACACACACTGACAAGCTTTTTAAACTATAGGAATACGTCCACATAGGATACCTGTCTTATTCATATCCTATATATATAGCTGTGGTACTAAAATGACCCATAACTGTATTCCGGATATCACTCATGACTCCTCTGTCTCAAATCTCTCAGTTCCTGTAGACGCCTTGGCGAACAAACTATTCGGTGCCCCTGAGCCTTCTACAATAGCACGCTCCCTCCCGACTACTGTGCCTGACTCGCCCAACTACCGCAGTGCCCGGACACCCCGCATGCCTCGCACCCCGCACCGGAAGGACCCCCCCATGACGCCCCGCTTCTACCCTGTGGTGAAGGAGAGCCGGCCTGTCGACGCCATGGTAACAAATAAGAGTTTCTGCCATTTTGTTTCAACTCACCCAGATCTCCTAGATCTACCAGGGAACATTCTGTTAGATGTTGATCTCCCAGGTGTACGGTGCTGTGAAAAAGTATTTGCCCCCTTTCTAATTTTCTCTACTTTTGCATATTTTTGATAATGAATGTTATCAGATCTTCAACCCAAACATAATTTTAGATAAAGGGAACCTGAGTGAACAAATAACACAACACTTATATACTTATTTCATTTATTTCAGAAACAAAGTTATGCAACACACAATGCCCCTGTGTGAAAATGTAATTGCCCCCTTACACATGATTACTACATGATTCCATGTGTGTTATTTCATAGTTTTGATGTCTTCACTATTATTCTACAATGTAGAAAATAGTACAAAGAAAGAAAAACCCTTGAATGAGTAGGTGTTCTAAAACTTTTGACCGGTAGTATGTGTATGCATGTATGTATATATTAGATAAAGGGAACCTGAGTTTACAAAAAATAATAAATATATATTTATTATTATTTTTTGTCAACTCCGGTTCCCTTTATCTAATATTAGGATTTGGTTGAAGATCTGATAACACTGAATATGCAAAAATAGAGAAAATCAGAAAGGGGGAAAATACTTTTTCAGGGTACGTATAGATGATATCTGACCTCTGCTGCTCATCTGTTTTATACATGTGATTTGTAAAGAGTTTTTTCCACTTCCAACTGGGCTGGATTTAGGTCTGAACCGCTGGACTGCTGTCGGTACTGTGCTGTCGGTACTGTGCTGTCGGTACTGTGTGGTTAACAGTCCTCTCTCTCTCCAGACCCCGAGGAAGAGGAAGACCAGACACAGCTCCAACCCACCGATGGAGTGCCACGTTGGCTGGGTGATGGACTCGCGAGAACACCGGTCCCGCACCGCCTCCGTCAGGTGAGACAAGTCTCCTCTCCTGTGGTGATTTTGCGAAAGTGTACACTTTACCTGTTCATTTAACCTACAAAAGGCTTTATCTTATGTCATAATTAGAACATTTCACCACCATAACAATTTGTTGGAAGTCGTATTGAGTGGTTTACCACTTACACCTTGGTAAATCTACTTGAATGTTAATTTCAGGTTTAATTTGTCATTGGTGAGTTTAATGACTCTTCCCCTCTCTCTCCAGCTCCAACGCCAGCCCCTCAGAGGGTATCCCTGCGTTGGGGGGAATTGGCTGCACCCCCCAGTCGCTCCCCAAGTTCCAGCACCCATCCCACGAGCTGCTCAAGGAGAACGGCTTCACTCAACACGTTTACCACAAGTACCGTCGGCGCTGCCTAAACGGTACCCATAGCTACCCATGTCTTTTCTTCCTGAACAGACAAAGGACACACACACACACACACAGACTTGATCACTCATTCACACACTTAAACAGTAAAGGCGTAGCACCTTCGCCATTTCAAGCAGTCACCATTTCATATACTGCTTCTATTGCTTTACTATCTTCCATTTAGAGACTTCTGACTTCGTCACGGTCTAGAAAGTAATGTTGTCACACACATTTCACATTATACTATGTGTATGTATGTGTGTGTGTGTGTGTGTATATACAGTGAGGGGAAAAAAGTATTTGATCCCCTGCTGATTTTGTACATTTGCCCACTGACAAAGACATGATCAGTCTATAATTTTAATGGTAGGTTTATTTGAACAGTGAGAGACAGAATAACAACAACAAAAAATCCAGAAAAACGCATGTAAAAAATGTTATAAATTTATTAGTATTTTAATGAGGGAAATAAGTATTTGACCCCTCTGCAAAACATGACTTAGTAGTTGGTGGCAAAACCCTTGTTGGCAATCAGAGGTCAAACATTTCTTGTAGTTGGCCACCAGGTTTTCACACATCTCAGGAGGGATTTTGTCCCACTCCTCTTTGCAGATCTTCTCCAAGTCATTAAGGTTTTGAGGCTGACGTTTGGCAACTCGAACCTTCAGCTCCCTCCACAGATTTTCTATGGGATTAAGGTCTGGAGACTGGCTAGGCCACTCCAGGACCTTAATGTGCTTCTTCTTGAGCCACTCCTTTGTTGCCTTGGCCGTGTGTTTTGGGTCATTGTCATGCTGGAATACCCATCCACAACCCATTTTCAATGCCCTGGCTGAGGGAAGGAGGTTCTCACCCAAGATTTGACGGTACATGGCCCCGTCCATCGTCCCTTTGATGCGGTGAAGTTGTCCTGTCCCCTTAGCAGAAAAACACCCCCAAAGCATAATGTTTCCACCTCCATGTTTGACGGTGGGGATGGTGTTCTTGGGGTCATAGGCAGCATTCCTCCTCCTCCAAACACGTTGAGTTGATGCCAAAGAGCTCGATTTTGGTCTCATCTGACCACAACACTTTCACCCAGTTCTCCTCTGAATCATTCAGATGTTCATTGGCAAACTTCAGACGGGCCTGTATATGTGCTTTCTTGAGCAGGGGGACCTTGCGGGCGCTGCAGGATTTCAGTCATTCACGGCGTAGTGTGTTACCAATTGTTTTCTTTGTGACTATGGTCCCAGCTGCCTTGAGCTCATTGACAAGATCCTCTTGTGTAGTTCTGGGCTGATTCCTCACCGTTCTCATGATCATTGTATCTCCACGAGGTGAGATCTTGCATGGAGCCCCAGGCCGAGGGAGATTGACAGTTATTTTGTGTTTCTTCCATTTGCGAATAATCGCACCAACTGTTGTCACCTTCTCACCAAGCTGCTTGGCGATGGTCTTGTAGCCCATTCCAGCCTTGCATAGGTCTACAATCTTGTCCCTGACATCCTTGGAGAGCTCTTTGGTCTTGGCTATGGTGGAGAGTTTGGAATCTGATTTGATTGATTGCTTCTGTGGACAGGTGTCATTTTATACAGGTAACAAGCTGAGATTAGGAGCACTCCCTTTAAGAGTGTGCTCCAAATCTCAGCTCATTACCTGTATAAAAGTGTGTATAAAAATCATAATAGCAGTGGCTCTCTTTGTTACACAGGATGCTACGTCCCAAATGGCAACCTGTTCCCTACATAGTGCGCTACTTTTGAAAAATATGGGGAATGTTGGCATTTGGGCCACAGCACAGCCATAAGTGTCTGACCTTTCACCCCTCTACTCCACCAATCGCAGAGCGCAAGCGGTTGGGCATCGGCCAATCCCAGGAGATGAACACGCTGTTCCGTTTCTGGTCGTTCTTCCTGAGGGATCACTTCAACAGGAAGATGTACGAGGAGTTCAGACAGCTGGTGGTGGAGGACGGAAAGGAGGGATACAGGTAATGTTTTAATTTCATTATCTGCTTAATACTTATCCGTCTACTGATTTATACACAGATATTTGTGGCTGCGGATCGGACTTTTCCTGGACCTTTCTTCCCTACAGCTAAAGGTTCGAGAGGGTCTGCTCATGTGCAGCGTACTCTAGGTCGAGAGACAGTCTAAATGGCGATTCAATGTTCCGTTTTCACCATCATTGGCAAAGTAGGGGGCGGGGGGGGCAGGACAGTCAAAGTGGGGGGGGGGGGGGCAGGACAGGCAAAGTAGGAGTTTTTATTTTATTTTATTTTTTCTTCAGTAACTCAGGCTACGACATGGCAGCATAACTATAAAGATGACATCATCACAAATGTACACGTGTGGTTAAAATGCAGGTTGTTTTATATGTAGACTGCTCCCTGCTTGAAGCTACTGCAAATTCCTTAGTTACTACAGACGGAGAAGGTTGTTGCCTACAAATGTATTTAGTTTTGGGATGTTCGTTCAAATAGCCGCACGTTTAGAAAATATATATATATTCTGATGTTCAGAAATGAGGCAGAGACATTGGCTACATCATCATGGTTCAGAAGAGAGTGAGTAGAGAGATAAACGTGAAGGGGGGGGTGGGTTTGAGCACAGTAATGTGAATCGGATATTCGGCTCCGGGGGGGGGGAAGATCCGGCATGGCAGTTACCTTGATTGTATAATGTTACAATGTTTTACTTATGGGCTATTCACGATATATCTTTTTTTATTTTATTGCTTTATTGCACAATTAATGCTCAATACACTGCTTTTCAAACAGTAAGGAATAATCTAATGAATTCAGGGCTTATAAAATTATACCCAGGATAAATATAAGCCTTCCACAACAATAAGACACACACTAATAATTTACTTATTTTATCAAAATAGTTTAACCTTCTTTTGCAATGATCACTGTTCTGGCTTTCAAGGCCGTCTATGAAAATGCCCTTTTTGTTACAAATTTAACCTCAACCATGCACAATGCCCATCCACTAATAATGACCAACTTCTTCTAAGATGCATTATAAAAAATGTACCCAGGTCCACCCGGATTTTCTGTTGGTCCAAACCTCAACTGCGAATAGCGAGTTTAAACTGCTTGTTGGCAGAGAATAAGTTCTATTTTGTTGTTGTGAATGGCAGGGGGAGGGGCTTGGTGTCTGTAAGCCAGTGGGAAGATGCACAGGAGGAGGAGGGGCTTGGTGTCAGGTCATACAGGAGGAGGAGGGGCTTGGTGTCAGGTCATACAGGAGGAGGAGGGGCCTGGTGTCAGGTCATACAGGAGGAGGAGGGGCTTGGTGTCAGGTCATACAGGAGGAGGAGGGGCTTGTTTTCAGGTCATACAGCACAGGAGGAGGAGGGGCTTGGTGTCAGGTCATACAGGAGGAGGAGGGGCTTGGTGTCAGGTCATACAGCACAGGAGGAGGAGGGGCTTGTTGTCAGGTCATACAGCACAGGAGGAGGAGGGGCTTGTTGTCAGGTCATACAGCACAGGAGGAGGAGGGGCTTGGTGTCAGGTCATACAGCACAGGAGGAGGAGGGGCTTGGTGTCAGGTCATACAGGAGGAGGAGGGGCTTGTTGTCAGGTCATACAGGAGGAGGAGGGGCTTGTTGTCAGGGCACACAGCACAGGAGGAGGGGCTTGTTGTCAGGGCACACAGCACAGGAGGAGGAGGGGCTTGTCAGGTCATACAGGAGGAGGAGGGGCTTGTCAGGTCATACAGGAGGAGGAGGGGCTTGGTGTCAGGTCATACAGCACAGGAGGAGGAGGGGCTTGGTGTCAGGTCATACAGCACAGGAGGAGGAGGGGCTTGTCAGGTCATACAGGAGGAGGAGGGGCTTGTTGTCAGGTCATACAGCACAGGAGGAGGAGGGGCTTGTTGTCAGGGCACACAGCACAGGAGGAGGAGGGGCTTGTTGTCAGGGCACACAGCACAGGAGACGAAACCAACGACACCGAACGTTCATAAAAGCAAAAAAAATAATAAAAACTGTGATTCTTGCGATACGGGCATTTGGAACATTGCGCTAAAACATTCATTTGAATGAATTAGCTATCGCCCAGCCCTAGCTCCTTAACACACCTGGTTTCAATCAAGCATAGTCTTCCATTCAGACTACTGCAATTAGTTGGATCAGCCATCTTACTGCTGGGTTGGAACAACAGCCTGCGGTCCATTGTGGCCTTCCAGGATCTGAGTTGCCCACTACTGGTGTTAGATGGGGTGGCAGGTAGCTTAGTGATTAAGAGCGTTGTGCCAGTAACCGAAAAGGTCGCTGGTTCTAATCCCCGAGCCGACTAGGTGAAAAAAATCTGTCGACGTGCCCTTGAGCAAGGCACTTAACCCTAATTGCTCCTGTAAGTCGCTCTGGATAAGAGCGTCTGCTAAATGACTAAAAATGTACAATGTGTTTGTTCAGTCTGCTTGATCACCACACAAGGCTGATTTTTAAATTCCTGTTGTGTGTTGCAGGTATGGACTGGAGTGTCTGTTCAGGTACTATAGCTACGGACTGGAGAGGAAATTCAGACCAGACATCTTCAAGGACTTCCAGGAGGAGACCATGAAAGACTACGAAGCTGGTAAGAGGTCGCCCAGGGGAACCTCAACTCTACACATTATCACAGCGCAGTAACTCTCCATTTTGGGTACATTTCTGTGTCCCAAATGGCACCCTATTCGCCATAAAGTGGGGAACTTTTGACCCAAGAGCCTTGCATATGGGAATAGGGTGCAATTTGGGAAGTATCCTTTAATGACGTAGCTCCCTAACACTGTCCCCCTTTTTCTGTGTCCCCGTCTCTCACAGGCCAGCTGTATGGACTGGAGAAGTTCTGGGCGTTTCTTAAATACTCCAAAAACAAGAACATGGAGATCGACCCCAAGCTGCAGGAGTGCCTGAGCAAGTTCAAGCGTCTCGAGGATTTCAGAATCGATGTAAGTAGGGGAAACCTGTGAAAAAATAGTTTTTTGTTTTCTACAGCAACTTTCGACTACTATGGAAACCTGTTGAAGTGTGCATTTAGGCACGTTTTCTACAACTTTCACTACCAGCCACGTGAGTGAATAACAAAGGTTTAAAGGTTGTTATCAGAGTGTTATCATCAGGGCTCTAATGTGCGACCCAATTTGGTCGAAATATTTAGCTGTGCGACCAGGAGTTGTATTTTGGAAGCACTGTGCGACTATGGAAAAGAAAATCTCCCAGATCATAATTGTTTTAATGATGAGGCGTTCATTCAGTCGCTCACTGTACCATTGTTTCCGAGTGCCCTAGAGAGAAATGAGGGTGCAGATTCGATAGCGTCATAGTTGCACCATTATTAGAGAGAAAACGGATTGCTTCTGGCCCAACCAGGTCAAAACCGGGGCCCGGTGTCCCGATTTAGTGATGGAACTTAAGGCTTACGAGTGTTTTTAACGATGCATGAAGATGTAACATGCGTTTCCCAAAACACCACTTGGAGAGAACGGTCGCTTAGTGCGTTGTTGGAGCATGTGTTGATACTAATAGGATCGAAAGAAAGGCAGCGCTGCTCTCGGATCAGCTTTTAAATATTTCCAGAACATTATATTTATTTCACAATACTGACGACGGATCATCTCCTAGATCAGGGTTTCCCAAACTCGGTCCTGGGGACTCCAAGGTGTGTACGTGTATATATATATATTTTTTTTGCCCTAGCACTACACAGCTGGTTCAAATGTTGAACTCTTCATCAAGCTCTGATCATTTGAATCGGCTGTGTAGTGCTAGGGCAGAAACCAAAACGTGCACCGCTTGGGGTCCCCTGGACCGAGTTTGGGAAACGCTGTCCTAGAGAGATATTACCACCTATGGCTGCAAATATTGAGGCGGATTATTCTAGTGCTTACCCAATATAATGCACTAAATCACCGATTTTGGCACATCATTGAGCACGTTAGGCTACAAATATATTGAGACCAATTACAGACCGTAGCCTACAAGTAACTAAGTTGATTTGAACGGGAAATGTATTTCAACATGATTTGAAATAGGCCTATAGCCTACTGTTTATATTGTAATGCAGTCATCTCTGTTTTCATTCTAAGCATCTTTTTGTAAGTTGCTTGTTTGTATCAATTGCGAAGACATTGGTCCCGTTCCTGGGACCACCCATACGTAAAATGTATGCACGCATAACTGTAAGTCGCTTTGGAAAGTGATCGCCGGTCACAGAGAGACGGATAAACCAGGTGTGTGTGTGTGTGTGTAAAGGAGGGCAAAATAAGCTGTTCTGAGGCTGCCATTATATTACCAGCGTTTTAAGGTGCAACGTCAATAACGATGGTTTTGGGGAACAGCTCAAGAGATTTAACGATGCTCCCTACGAAAGTTCTAATGATTAACTTAGACTTAAGATGCTTTTGGGAAACTGGGCTTTAACTAACCGGTAACGTCACCAGTTTATCCACTGAAAGAAAAGAAAGGGATTGCTTCTTCTTCAGGAGATTTAATGATCACAGCAATGAATGAATGAATGACAGATCTCTCGTGTGTCCTCATCACAAACCTGACATTTTTAAAGATACATTTTATATGTAATGCATCTCAATTGGAAAATGGTACTTTTACACAATGTAGAAACCTAATATTCCACAAATGACTGCGTTCGTATCAACATTTTAGCTTTTATAATAAACTAATGTATTTAGTTACATATTAGCTTCTATGGCACAACGTGCTTCAAAAGTAGCTAGAATTCTTATATTGTATTTTCTGGTGCTCCTAAATTTAATGTGGTGCTCCTAACTTTTTTAAGTGGGAGCACCAGTGCTACCAATGACATTTTTAAAAATGTAGATGTTTGTTTGACAAGGCTTTTATCAGAGTGCTATCATGCGCCGTCAGGCTTTTGTAGGTTCAAAGTACTGAGCAAGCGGGTTTGTTAAACATTAACAAAATGGCACCCATTGCTGCGAGACTAGTTTCTTGACTACCTTGTTCACCCTGTAGTTTTTTTGACTCCATCTCACATGGCACATAGGACTCTGGTCAAAGTTGTGCACTTGAGACGCAGACTTTGTTACGGAACGTTCTGTTAGAGGACGTCTGTAGGGCCCCGGTCAATCCCACATCTCACCATTTGTCCTTCATTGCAGCCCCCGATGGAGGAGGGAGGCCGCAAGAGACACTCATCCAGCGGAGACGGTCGCCGCCGCCACCCCTCCCAGGGCTCCAGCCGCCCCCACAGCCAAACTGGCTTCGGCCCAGCCCTGTTCGCCCAGGGCCCCGCCAAGGATGATGCCAAAAACAGCAGCCAGAGCCAGCGACCTGCAGCCCAGGCCTCGGCCACCGCATCAGACGCCAAGCCACCAAAGTAACCCCGGACAACCCTCGGCCACGCGGATCAACTCAACGTCATCAAATCCTTTCTGCAACACAAGGGGGGGGGGTCCAATGGTTCACGCAAGCATGAGAGATTGACTTTGATGAATGTCTCGTGATTTTAAATAAATCAAGGCTCTTCCATTTTTAATTTCTTTGGTTTGAAACACCGAGAGTTTTGTCTTGTTAGAGACGAGACGAAGACTATTGAAGGAATGGATGAAGTGTTCCATTTTTGATTTTTTTGTTGCAAACCTTAGCATATTCTCCCAGTGGTTACTATGTGGGAATGAACATGGTTTTTGAGCACGTTTTGATGGCTACTGCAAACCTTGTGGCCCCCTTTCTATCGTTGGACCTTTCCATTTAACTCCCATCTGTTGGCTGACCGATGACCGATTCCTCAAGATCTGATTTTTTTTCTTTTTTTTTTTTTTTCTTTCTTCGAGTGGTGGATTGGAAACTGATGCTTTGAAAAATTAAGGAGGAAAAAAAAATATTTGACTTGTTTTGGGCTGGAGAGAAGAGAAGACCGGGCGAGGGAAAAAACAACAACAAAAAAACAAGAAACCAAATGTTGAACATAAATGACTAGTACCAGTCTCAAGATGGTTGAAAGTTGCCTTATTTTAATGGTTTTTCTGCTTAATTTGTGCCCGCCACCTTAATGTCGATTGTACAGCATTGATCATTGCAAATATGCAACGTCGGTCACCACCTACAATAGTGGCCACTCAGTGACCCCCTGCCTGCCAAACAGCACCCCTCTGAACTGTCTTCCAAGTGTCATATGGTCTGTTACAAAGCCTCCCCCCCCTCCTCCCCACCCCTCGGTGTGTTTGCAATTTGTGGCTCTTTGTGCTAAAACAGCTTTGCTGGGGGGGCCGCTCCCACCCCTGACGCCCCCCCCCCCCCCCCCTCCATCCATCTACCTACCCGATCATCCTACCATCCATCCATCCATCCATCGTACACTATTGAGGCTACAGGACTGGAATCACCAATCCGGATTACTTGAAGAAAAGAGAGGAAAGGCAGGTGCTTTAGGTGTGTGGTGGGCTTTGGGGGGGGGGGGTAATGGCCTGCTTTCCAGGGCTAAACAAGACTACGCTTCAGTCTGCAGCTTGGCATGGCCTATACCCTCGCATCCCACCATCACTCACACACACACACACACCCCTCAGTGTTTCTTCCAGAGAGTGGCGGCTCTACTCTGTTCTTCTGGAGGAGTACAACCAATGGACAGGCTATGTATCCCCTCTGATCCCAACCAACCTGTTCTACCCCCCCCCCCCCCCCCCCAACATCCAGTCTACCAGTCAGATCAACTATAATAATCTGGTTTAGATAACTTAATCTTTATCCGACATGAGTACTGATATCATCAAAATAGATTTGACTTTTTTTTTTTTCCTCCACTAATGTAAATGTGAACTGATGAAGAGAGATGACACCTTCCTGCTACTTGTTTTATTGTTTATAGAACAGATTATATATTCTCCTTACATGTACGTACTCAACATATTTTTTTTTTTTTTTTTTTTTTTTAAATGGTCTCTTAAGATAATCGTTTTAATGCTTTTTAATTTGCTGTGTTTCTAGGGGTAGGTAGATGGGTATGTCTGTATCGAATATGCATTTGAGACCTCTGGACTTTCAAGAAATGGGAAAATAGTATAGTACAAATAAAGGGACATTTTACATTAGGGCGTCAACTGACATTCAATACAACAACAACAACAAAAACATCACACGTTTCCAGGAAGTAGAGTTCAATTTCAAATCAAAGTTAATTTGCAGAATGTCATTTTTTTAATTTTGATAAATTTTGTTTACAAATTGCGTGATGTGAACCACTGGTGTGTTCACGCGACAGGCAATTTAAAACTTTACACAAATTGTATCATGTGTCAAAGTTGATGGTTGAATAGTCTCCCTAACTAGTTATTGATCAGTGAAGTATAATGCTCCTCTTTAGTTAAATATCAATTGGCATGAATAACAGTTAAAACTATTCCTTCTGCTGGAGGTGCAAAGGAATGATTCAGATTCACTGGTCGCTGTGTTAGAATGTCCAGTTGTCTTCATGTTTTGTTTAAAATAAAAAAATTAAAAAATCATTAACCGCCATTGTTGAACAATTTACAAGAGTTTAGCAAGAATTACGTTTTGTTTTTAGCTTCTTCTTTTTTCTGTCTTGTGGGCTTAGCTCAAGGGAGCTGCGGGTCAATTCAGGAGGCTGATATGATTGGTGAATCACTCAAGAAATCATTTACTTGCGGAATAAAGACAATACGACAAAACTCCAACCATTTCCCAACCCAGTTAATCCTCTGAGAGGATGTGGTGTCACCAGGGGGCGCCCTTCCACAGACAGCCACACAGACAGACGCCCCCCCCCCCCCCTCCCCAGTGAAGGTCACCTCTGTGTTCCACCCCCCTCGTCTTGGACCAGGATAGAGGGGACAGGTGAGACCGGTGCTCTGGGGTCCAGCCTATTTAATTTTTTATTATTTTTTTAATTTTATTTTTAGCATTGTGACACAAACCCTGCGGATGGATCAGCTGGCGCTCCAATGAACACTAGGGGGCGCCACGTCTGGCATCCTGCAGGGTCAGGTGGACTGGGCCGGACTTGGGAGAGAAAGAGGGGAAGGGAGGAAGAGGGATGTAACCCGTCTTTGGGTTTGTCAATGATGTCAATATTTAGAGGATGTGAATGGCTATGATGTCTGGGAACTGAACTAGGAGAAACAATTCCATAAAGCCATATAGATAAAAATAGCTGTATATGAACCATTTTGAAAATGTTAATAGTTCATTACCTTTACAATATCCTAGGCTTGTCATGAGGGGGGTAAAAAAAATAGAAAATGAAGAAAAAGGAACAAAAAAAAAATATATAAAACAGAAAAATTTAAAATACTTGAATGAGATCTTGTATTATAACATTTTAATATTCATAATATCTGCTATGTAGGCTGATGTGATTCGCTATTAGTGTTATTTGTAATTTGTAGTAATTATGCTTTTCCTTATTAAATAAAAAAAAAAAACATAAAATGGACAAAAACCTTAACCACCACCTGTCATCGTCCTCTTATTTACTTGTGTTTTCCTGTGGGGATCTCCAGAAAGCAGGATTATTAAATAAGCCAGCTAACTTTGATATACCGCTACATATATATTATATTATATATACATATAACTGCTGGTTTTTCTGGTTGAATAAGAAAGCATATGTATATTGGTTGTTGTTGTCAAAGTCAATTATACCATGACAATTTGGTGGTCCTCTGTAGCTCAATTGGTAGAGCACGGCGCTTGTAACGCCAGGGTAGTGGGTTCGATCCCCGGGATAAAAGCGTCTGCTAAAATGGCATATTATTATTTATTATGAAGTCCAGAGCCCTATACCAGGATAACCGGTACCACAAAAGTTGCTCACGTTTCAGCCAGGTACATTTCTATGGCTACAAATCCTTCAGATCTACAGTGCATTCGGAAAGTATGTAGACCCCTTGACTTTTTCCACATTTTGTAATGTTACAGCCTTATTCTAAATGGATTAAATAAAACATTTCCCTCATTAATCTACACACAACATCCCATAATGACAAAGCGAAAACAGGTTTTTAGACATTTTTGCAAATGTATTACAAATAAAAAAAAAACAGGATTATCTTATTTACATAAGTATTCTGACCTTTTGCTATGAGACTCGAAATTGAGCTCAGGTGCATCCTGTTTCCATTGATCGTTCTTTAGATATTTCTACAACTTGATTGGTGTGCACCTGTAGTAAATTCAATTGATTGGACATGATATGGAAAGGCACACACCTGTCTATATAAGGTCCCACATTTGACAGTGCATGACAGAGCAAAAACCAAGCCATGAGGTCGAAGGAATTGTCCGTAGAGCTCCGAGACAGGATTGTGTCGAGGCACAGATCTGGGGAAGGGTACCAACACATTTCTGCAGCATTGAAGGTCACCAAGAACACAGTGGCCTCCATCATTCTTAAAAGGAAGAAGTTTGGAACCACCAAGACTCTTCCTAGAGCTGACCGCCCGGCCAAACTGAGCAATCAGGGGAGAAGGGCCTTAGTCAGGGAGCTGACCAAGAACCCGATGGTCACTCTGACATCGCTCCAGAGTTCCTCTGTGGAGATGGGAGAACCTTCCAGAAGGACAACCATCTCTGCAGGACTCCACCAATCAGGCCTTTATGGTAGAGTGGCCAGATGGAAGCCACTCCTCAGTAAAAGGCACATGACAGCACGCTTGGAGTTTGCCAAAAGGCACCTAAAGAATTCTCAGACATTGAGAAACATGATTCTCTGGTCTGATGAAACCAAGATTGAACTCTTTGGCCTGAATGCCAAGCTTCATGTCTGGAGGAAACCTGGTACCATCCCTGTGGTGAAGCATGGTGGTGGCAGCATCATGCTCTGGGGATGTTTTTCAGCGGCAGGGACTTGGGAGACTAGTCAGGATTGAGGGAAAGATTAATGGAGCAACGTACAGCGAGATCCTTGATAAAAGACCTGCTCCAGAGCGCTCAGGACCTCAGACTGGGGCGAAGGTTCACCTTCCAACAGGACAACGACCCTAAGCACACAGCCAAGACAACGCAGGAGTGGCTTCGGGACAACCCCATCTCTGGAGAGACCTGAAAATAGCCGTGCAGCGACGCTCCCCATCCAACCTGAGAGAGCTTGAGAGGATCTGCAGAGAAGAATGGGAGAAACTCAGGTGTGCCAAGATTGTAGCGTCATACCCAAGAAGACTCGAGGCTGTAATCACTGCCAAAGGTGTTTCAACAAAGTACTGAGTAAAGGGTCTGAATACTTACATTAATGTGATTTCTGTTTATTTTTTATACATTTGCAAAAATTTCTATAAACCTGTTTTTGCTTTGTCATTAGGGGGTATTGTGTGTAGATTGATGAGGGGGGGTGAAAAATAATTTAATCCATTTTAGAATAAGG